TCTACTCTGCTCAGGACCCACGGCCAAGGTCACACGGCTCCTCTGCTCTGAGGCTGTCGGCCTGGCTGCCCTTGCATTTGACCTCATGCATGTGGTTCCTTCTCAAAGTCAGGCAGCCTGAGGCCTCTGCACCTCTGTGCAGGCCGAGCCTTCTCCCAGAATGTCCTGCCCCTGGCTAGCTCCTTCTCCTCCATTAAGATTCAGCTCCTGAGCGGTCTCCTTCAGGAAGCCCTCTGTGCTTGCAGGTGCCCCACATCACACTGCTTTCCTCGACCCCTGGGCTCACACTGAATTGAACGGTTAAAAGTGCACCTCTTGCACTAGACAGTGCGCTTTTTGAGGCAGGGGCTGGGCCCTGTTGAAGCCCCGGAACCTAGCACAGAGCAGGCGGGGAACCAGAGGTCAATAACTACTGAAAAGCTCTTGCTCCGGCAGGATGACCAGCCAAAGCCCTTTGGTCTGCTCTATCCCCCGCCCCATGCATGCAGCTTCCCCTTAATCACTTTTGGGCCACTGCCCCAGCTCCAAACCTCTTATCCCACAAAACCAGACTGACTTCCAAATTCACCTCCTCCTTGAAATCATCCCCAACTGCCCCACTCTACATACCATCGCCATGGCAACCGCCTCCCATCCTTCATCCCTCTTGCCCCCTGGGAAAGACAGCAGTTGCATCTAACTAGGTCCATGGCAGGATGTGTCAAGGTAGACACAAAGACGCTCTGAAAGGTTCAAAACCATCATGACAGTGTCAGATGGGCAGAGTTTGAAGTCTGAGGACCAGGGTTCAGATCCCTGCTTGACTTTCTATTTGTGACTTGGACAAGTCACTAACCACAGAGACTCGGTTTCCTCGTCTGCAACATGAAGACCAAGATGACAGTCTCCTGTGCTGGTAAAGATAACAGCCCCCGATCAGGGCAGATGAGGTGAGTTGTGTGAGCACCGGGCAAACTGGAAAGTCAAGTCAAGCGTAGGTAGATTCGTCCTCTGTGCCCACAAGCCCCCTCACCCCTGCCCTCTTCCTCCCATGGTTTGTGTCAGTTGAGAAGCAGATGGCAGCTACGGACACCCCTCCTAGATAAATGCACATGACAGCTTGTCAAACCCTTCCAGGAGATTCTGAGGACACGGCCACGGGGCTAGAAAGCCACAGAGCCAACAGGAGCACTGGGAAGCCCCAGGCCCTTGGCCTCTCCCAGATCCGTGCTCTCATTCATTCCTGAAGCCAAAGATGGAACAGAAGGCAGGAAAGGCCAACCTTGAAGGAGAGCAACCTCAAGTCACAAATGAACTCCAGAGCCTTCCCAGAGACCAAGGAGAAAGATGAAGATGGAGGGCTCTTGCTCTTTGGGAAATAAGGACCCAACTTCTTTCCAGCAAGCATCTGCCATGGAGAAAAAATATGGGATGAGATATGAAAACCAGGCTTTCTTTCCCCATTCCACCAAGGGCTCACAAATACCTGGGCCAGGCTTTTCACTTCTCTGAGCTTTCATATTAAGTCATTGGCAAGGCCCTACCCGGCTCTGGGTGCCTAGGATCCAAGGGAGGGTCTGTTCTTATCCTGTTCTGAAACACAGCTCAGAAACACAGCAGAAGAAAATCCAAGCTTGAAAGTGAGCAGCTTGATTCAAGGGCCCAAGAATGAGCAGGAAGCCCAGTGGTGGGGAGAAGAGCCCCTCTCCAAACACTTCAAAAGCAGCTACCAGGCGATCAGGTAAGTTACACAGAACTGCCGTTGAGAGTTTGGAGAATCCTCAAAATATGCAATTTGTGCGTGCCTATAATCTCAGGAGGATGAGACAGGAGGATCACAAATTGGAGGCCAGCCTCAACAGTGACACCCTGCCTCACTAAAGACTAGGATATGGCTCAGCAGTAAAGTACCCCTAGGTTCAATCCCCAGTACCAAAACAAAACAAAACAAAAACCTGCAATCTGCCTATTTGTACTTCATAGTCTATCTGCTCGCAGGATTCTCTCTCCATCCTAACCACCCACCTCCTACTTCTTCCTTTCTGATCGGAGCAGTAAACAGTATAACCTTAAAACAAAGGAGTGAACCCCCAAATTGAAATAAAAGTGAAGAACAATGTCACGGATGACAGAAGTGAATCTGGAATAGATAAAGGCAGCCCCACACTAAAACATCTATGCAACCTGTGAAAGCACCACACTAGACAGGGCTTGAGGGAGACCTTGCTCAGCCTCTCACTGAATCACAGGATATCAGCGCTGGGGAGGAACCAGGGCGCACATTTCAACAGCTCCTCATTGCTCAGAAGAACCTGTTGGGTGGCTTTACCATAAGTGCCCAGCAGTGGACTACCTTCTGCAGAAGGACATACCTGCGGGCCTACCCTCGAGATTCCAAACAGCCAGGAGTCCAGCGGAACAGGGACATAAGGGCCTTTTGTGCCATTGCTGCCTTCTGCATTTGTTCTAAGATAAGAAGGAGCACGACAGGCCTTTTGCAACCAACATATGTGAAACCAACTACATCCCAGGTGAGTGCTCTGAAATATTTACGACTTAGTCCTTCCTGGGGGCTCTGTTATTGCATTGTAACTTAACTATTTCTGCTATACCACCTTTGTGTGCCCCAAACAATGAATCATCTAGCCTAAACAGATATTTAATAAACATTTGCTGGGATTAAACTCTCTCCTTTATCTCTACCCCTAGAATGCATTTTTTAAATCTAATACACAGCAGAGACCATGTGATCAATTTTCTGGTATGCCCTTCTAGATATTCAAAGTTGTAGGTTCCCAATACATATTTGTAAATGAATGATTGATTAGATGATTAGCCCCAAATCCTCCGAGCTATGTCTGAGGACCCTTCACATGTAAGAACTGAGAAATTCCCATAGGCACGTTTGAGTTCTTTGCTGTTCTCTGGGCTTCTCCATCCCTGGAGGTGGGAGGGAGATAGGAAGAATAACCTGAGAAGGTTTCTCAGGAAATCTACATTTTTTAAATCTGTTGGTGTTGAAACCGGTTATTACAGAAGAAAACTTGTATTCAATAAGGATTCCTTGAACACACCCCTATGAACATGGACATACGTTTTAGAAACATGTACGTCACATGCCTTTGTTATACGCTGGCATCTACTGGATACCTCAACAGCAAATTCTTAGATGAGTGATAACACTTCTGGTCTTTAATGGCTATTTTCATTTGGAACTGTTAGCAAGTCAAAAGTGTTAGTTTACCCCTTGCCCAGGTTCAGTACTTCCTGAGGCATCAAGGGCCCACTCAAAAAAATAAAAAGTAGTCCTAATTTAAATAAAAAGCTATAGGCTGCCAAGAAAAAACACAAAGGAGGAAAGTTGCCCTTGCCCTACTGAAGCCTTAGCCAAGTCATCTCTTGCTGAGCCTCAGTGCCCTCATCTATAAATGGGGTGGGTACTCCTCTCCCTCAACATCTTTTTAATAAGTGCAATTAAGGGTTAAGCCTGGAAAGTCGTAGAGACATATTGTAATTCTAGCAATCTGTTAATCATGCATGGCATTGTACCCCAGAACGCACCACGAAATTACTGCCTCTGAGCTGTTCCTAATCCAGGACAGACACTTGACACAACAGATGAGGTGGTCTATGTGTAAGTGGAATCCTGTTTTCAAACACTCAGAGGGAGTTTCCTGGGGTCATGGAAACCAGTCCTGGCCGCCTTCTAGCATCTGTTGAGGGGGCATTCTGTTCCTGGATAATTGGATTGTCTTGAAATTCAAGCAATTTCCTCGCATGGCCTGGGCCTGCTGGGAGCCGAGATTCCAGAGGTTTTCGGCCCAGTCCCAACCCTGGGCAGGAGGAACCAGGGCGGTCAGCCTGGTGCCCCTCCCCGCACTCTGGGCGGCTCCTTCCTCTCCAGCTCCGCACGGTGACACTCGTGCTGTGTCACTTTCACCCTGCGGAAGCTCCAGCCGGCGCTGAGTCGGCAGCTTCCTCCGGGGTGGAGCGGACCCCTAGCCGGGGAGATAATCCCGGGCCGCTGAGATGGAGCGCAGCGCGCGAGGGAATGGCGGGCAGCTGCGCGCGGCCGGCTGAGCTGCGGGCTGCAGCGGGCTGGGCCTGGGCTGCAGCGGCCGGGTAGACTTTGGTCCCCACGGTCCCCAGACTTAAGAATTGTCGGGGGGCGGAAAGGCTCAGAGCGCGCGGATTCTCTCCAAGGTCTTCGAAGACAGCGACGGGCACGCGCACCCACAGGGCGTCTCGGTGCAAGGGTCAACTAGCGTGTCAGGGGGCGGGGGCGGGGGCGGCGACGCGCGCGCCCGCGGCTTCTCCCCGCCCCGCCAGACCAGCCTCCTGCGCCTTGGGGTTGGAAGACAGCTGGAGGGGTCAGGGGACATAGGGAGCACTGACGCAGAGGCTGTACTGAGAGCAGGGACTCCCACACCTCTGACGAGCACATTCGACCCTAGGGTGTCCCCCGGCCCAGAGTCTCAGATTTCCTCTCCAAGTAACCCGGGAGCGCGCGCGCGCGTGGAACCACATCTGACAGCGAGTCCAACTCGAGCCACCAGCGGCTGGCTGGACCGATCCCGCGCAGGATCCCGACCACGCGAGTCCCCACTACGCCGCGGTGTGCCCCGCCCCCCACGCCACGCCTGAACAGTGTGTACACACACAAACAGCTGGGCGGGGGAGGCGACGCCTCGCTCCAGGGGTAGGGACGCACACGGCGCCGCCAGCCATCCTTCCCCTCCGCCCGCCGCGCCCCCTTCCTGGCTCGCACACACACCCAGCCCCAGCCCCGAAAACTCCGCGAAGCCAGACAGCCTACCCGGCACGGGCAGGGACTTGGACCCCCGAGTGTATTTAACGTCAACCAGTTCCGAAGCGCGGTCCAGAGGTCGCCTCTTCCCGTGCCTCCAGGTACCCCGCACACCACATCGGGGGACCCCAGACCTCCGCAGCAGCGGAGCCGCCGTCGCCGCCCCGCCCCCCTCCCCCCGCGCGCCCGCCATTCCCGGCGGCGAGACAGTCACCTGCTTGTTGTCCTGAAGAACGGGAGCCAAGCCCACTCCGCAGCCTCTCGGGTCACTCTCCACCAAGAGCTGGCTTTTCAGAACCTGTCAACTTAACCCCGGTACGACCGGGCTTATCTATTCTCCAGGTCCGAGCGCACCGCGGCGACGGAAATAATAATTATAAAAGCCAGCAGAATCCCAACTGTGGGGAATGGCCAAAGCTGCGGCCGCAGTTGATCCACCAATTCGGTTTTCTCCTCTGCTCCCATCCCCCGCGCCCCCCACGGCCCGCGGGCTGGCTGCGGACGGAGGGAGGGATCTGCTGCCTGTCTAGACGACGGCCATCCACAGACATCCTCGAGCACGCGGGGACCGGCGCGCACACTCACACACGGTCGCTGCCACAGACACAAACCGTCAGCACCGCAGGGAGGGGAGGTGTGGGGACACACTCGCGGGGTCCCTCCGGCAGCTCCGAGTGCGGCAGCCGGTAGCCCCGAGCCACCATCCCGAACCTCGCTCCCTACCTCGGCGAAGCGCGGTCAGAACAGCTGCAAGTTTGCCTGGTACTAAACCAACTGCTCGCTGCAGCAAATGCGAGCTTCAAAACAAAAGGGAGAGGAATCACGCTCGCTCGCTTCCTCCCCCCGGGTCGGAACCCGGCACATGACAGCAGCTATACTGTGCCGCTCCAACGCGACTCCGCTCCAACCGACCGTTCCCCAAGAACCCCCCTCAGCTCCGGAGCTCCAGGGCCACGGCTCCCTACCGGGCGGGGAAAGGGGCAGAGAATGGGACAAACCCAGGGACGGGGCGAGATCGTAGGGTGCAGTCCCCCACAGAGAGAGGGAGGAGAGGGACCGTGGATGGGTGCGGACACCCGGCTCGCACAGGCGCAGGGAGGGGGAAGGGGGCTAATTGTTTGGGGCGGTTTTCCAGGATTTATCTATAAGCTCGCGCACGTCACGCAGCCCTCCTCCCGGGTCCCCGAATCGATCGGCAAGCTGGAACGACTAAAGGAGGACGGACGAGGGATGCTCACCTCGGGTTTCCTCTGGTCGCCGCGCCAAGCCCGCGTCGGGGGTGGGGGAAGGGGACAGGGAAGGGGAAGGGAGGGACCAGGCTCCAGAGAGCCTACTCCTGCCTCGAGTTCGGCGCGTCCCAGCTGCGGAGGGGATAGGGCGCCCCGGCGCACCGATCCAGCCGAAAGGGGAGGGAGGGAGGGAAGGGAAGGAGGGAGGGAGGGGCGGGTAGGGGGGAGGGAGTAGAGGAAGGAAAAAAAATGATCCCGGTTCTGACACAGGGAAAGAGAATGTAGGAGAGTGACGTCCAGGCCCCGCCTCCCCCTCCGGCCACGTGCAAAGACTTGAAAGGGAAGAGAGCGGCGGGAGGCCTGCTGGGTAATGTAGTTCGCCTTTCTTTCCCGGGATGGCGGGCCCTGGAGAGCCGGGTGACGCCGGGGATGCCGCCTGAGTCGCCGAGACAGCCAAATCTAGCATCCCCGAAACAGGTCGCCCAACGATCCCCTGCGCTGGCGCAGCCCTGGGTGGCGACCTCTACAGTGGGGGCGGAAGCGCGGTGCAGGCTGGCAGGGAAACTCTACATTTTAGAGTCAAGAAAGCTCCAAGGATGAGGACTTCCGCGCGCAAAGTGCAAAGCCTGTTCTAATGGCAGATAAAAGAGAGCTTTGTGTAAGCACTGGGGGGCCCAAGTGGCGTTATTAATGCTGCAGTAAGTGCCACCGTCGGTTATTGAGATGCATATGTTATGATTAACATTTGCGCATCTCTGTGGCAGGGGCGGGATGTTGTAATTAGATATGCACTTTGCGACCAATTAATTTTCCATTGGCCATGCTAAAGACTGGGACATGGTAGCTACAAGAATTTGATGCAGTGCATAATCCAGTCATTCCTTAACCAGAGATCACCACAGTTTTGCTTAAAACTGAACTTGGCACGGAGGCCTTCAAGAGAAATATGATATTGTAGCTTCACCAGGCAGGGGGGTCAGGAAGGCATTGGAGGAACTGGGATATATAGAACGTATAGAAATCCATTTACTGATGATTTCTCATAACATTTGGTGAACACTCACCATAGACCAGGCACTTCTGTTGTAATTAGATACAATAAGATCCTCAGTGTGTGCCCTCAAATTCAGTCTAATATAAGAGCCACCCTCAATGAAAGTATAGGGGATAGTCAACGCTTAACATAGGGATAAACACAAAGTGCTATGGAACCCCTGGAGGAGGAGCCAACCAGGATGGAGGGTGGTCAGGTGGAAGAGGCTCTGGGAAGGCTTCCTGGAGGAGGTGGTACTTGAGCAAAAAATCGCTAAGACTTTTGACAAAGATAAAGGAAGCAGCTGGTATCTCACTAAGGCCATAGGGCACAAAGCCTCCAAATGTGAGGGAAGAAAGCTAATTCTGAAGGCCCTGGAGATTTGGCAGGACAGAGAAGGGGACAGGTTGTTGGGGGAGAGGTTAGTGCAGCCATCCGGGGCTGGCTAGAGGGTGAATGTGGAGGGCAGAAGGAGCCTGGGACAGGCTTCCCAGAAGAGGTGGGGCTTGGCCTGGGCTGGAAGGATGGGATTTTGTTTAGCATGGACAGCTTGTCCTCTGGGCTTGGGACCCTGAACTCCCAGACATTGGTGGAAAGCAAAGCACCACGTACATCCACATCCTGTTGGAGGGAGGCTCATTTGATTCTTGGACTAAGGTCATGGTGGGTGTCTCAGCGCCCAGCTCCCCGCTCCCCGCTCCCCAGCTGGGGGAAGGCAGTGGGTCCAGAGACTTCAGCAGAGATCCTCCTTAGCCAAGAGCTGGTAAAAGGCGCAGTGGGTATCTGAAGGCAGTTGTCTGGGTGCCAGGCCCAGCCCTCCCCCACCACCAAAGGAAGGCATTTATGCACACCTGACTCCTCATGCTGGGTTGTGCCTCTTAGCATTTATGCCTCATTGGCTCAGCAGTGAGTTATTTTTATGCTTTAACATCTGGACAATTTCCTGGGTTTACCAAATATTAACTAATAGTACTGGATTCTCTTCTTTCAGCAAATTCTCATTTCCTTACCTCGTTGTCAGTGCAGTTCTGCACATTGTGTGATAGGCCGCCATCTGCAAAGAATCAAGAATGCAATTGTCTGGGTCTTGGCTTTGCTCTGGCTTTAAACCACACCCCCAGAGGTGAGGAGAGGCTGAGCAATGTGTAGAATGTGAACTGTCCGTGGAGGGCAGGCCCCACAGAGGGGCATGGGCCTGGGTGAACCAGGCAGTACGGACAAGGGCTCTCAAGTTAGCCTGACCCCTAGGTGTCAATCCCCAGCATAATCCTTCCCGCTTCTGCAACCTTGGGAAGCTGACTTAACCTCCAGGTGGGGTGACCTTTGGCATCTTATTCAACAGCTTTCTTGACCTTGTGAGAACCAGTGATCATAATGTACTTCAACTGGACCTGTCACATGGAAGGTGCTCAGTAATGGTCAAGTCTTTCCAGTCCCAAGGTCTTTGAGGCCAATAAGAATGAGCCCTGAATTTTCCTTTCAGTAGACTCAGACCAGCAGAACCTGTGTCATAGGAAGGGATCCCAAAGTGGGGTGGGTGGAGCCTCCGTGCTAATGTGGGAAATAAGTTAGGTTTGTCCTCAAGGAACCTTGGCCCAGTTCTAGTCTTTGCCTACTACCACTCCCTCCCATCAGCTGATTTATATTCTCCCCCCTCCCCATTCTGCTTTCCAAAGACCCCCATACTGAGTCACCCCACCCAAGACTGCCTCTCTGGACGGGGCCCTGAAATCCCACATTGCTATCCATCAAATTGATCTCCTACTTTTCACGTCCTCGGAGCTGGCTCTCTGCTTTACCTCCAGTCTAATAAGCCTTCACTGACCTTCCCAAGATCCTCTTCGTCCTCTGCTCTAACCCTGATGTTTTTGTCTCATTGAAAGCTCTCCAGAGCAGCCTCCGATGATGGGCGTTTCTGGCTAGAATGGGGACTGTGGGTCCTCAAACTGGAGTTACCAAGTAGGAGGCCAGGGTTTAGGTGGCCCTCATCTGAGACTGGCCTTCCCTACACTGTAGCTGGCCTTGACCCAACCTGCCATCTGGAGTCGGAAAAGCTGCTGGTTGCCGAGTGGAGGAAGTAGGGGTCTTGGGGGGAAATGACACTGGCACTCGGTAACCGGAGCCTTGAGTAGCCAGGATCGCCTGACTTGTCACACCTAAGAAATGGAGACCAGAAGGTTTCTTCTGTTTCCAGCTCTGCTTCTCCTAATCACACGTGCCTAAGACAGGAGCAAAAGGAAATATTTCTCCTTTCTTCCCATTTGGTCTCTCTGCTCCCTCTGGGGCCTTTCCAGGGAGAAAGCACCCCCATTAGTCCTTACATTTATTTATTTTATTTTTGTGTCCTGGAGATGGAACCCAGGGCCTCACACATGCTAAGCACATGCTCTACCACTGAGCTGTGTCCTTGCCCCCTCACCTTGATTGAAGGCCTGGTGGACACCCACCAGAGTCCTGGGGGGCGAGAAGCCACCTGCCTGCAGGAGCTGAAAGACCAGGTTGACACCCAGGAGACAGATGAACTGCCCCATGGCATGAGGGTAACTTTAAAGTGGACTAAGGCCTGCAGTGCTCAGAGTAGGCTTCTGGAAGGAGGGAAGTACTAGAGGCACCGGATCTTCCCATCTGGAGGAGGCCAGCATGGCCCAAGTCCCTGCCTTGGCCTGGAAGCCCTGAGTGAGTTTTGGTGGGAGCAATAATGGCTTCACTGAGCCTTTTGGTGACTGATGACCTCGCAGGAGGAGGAGGTTGCCAGTCTGGTGTCTGTGCTGTGTTACTGTGGTGTCGGCCTAGAGAGATAACAGTGCCATAGAACCAGGTTAAATTTCACCCATGCCTCCTCTCAGCTTCCACTGTACAACCTCAAAGACCATTGCCCGAAAGGCAGATGCAAAGTGACTGTGGAAGGTGACATGGGTGGTGGAGGAAGGGCCATAAAGAGAGAAGGATAAGCTTAAAGAAAGCAAAAGTGAAATGAGAAATAAACCAAGGAGTGTTCACGGGGAGCAGGCCATGCATGAGGGGTGGCCAGGCACCTATGGGGTCCCAGGTTCCACCTGCCCGTGTCCTGCGGTGCTGTATTTCCTCCCTCTGGCCTCAGTTTCCACACCTGTAAAATGAGATAGTGAGACTCTCATCTCTAAGATTATCTCCAAGTCTGAAATTCTCCTTTCAAGAAGTTGTCAGTCTCATTGGCAAAACAAGCTGTGACATTGAGAAGCCCCAAAGATGAATTTTAAGCTGTTTCATTCCAGTGGAGCAGGGTTTGTGATATTCATTAAACAAAGCCCTAAAGTCCACGAACACGAAGCAAGCAGATCTTGTCTTGCAACATTCAAGGACAGTAAGTCTGAAGGCTGTGAGTCATCGGACATTCCTCAGGTCCCTTGGAGTTAAAGGTCAGAACTCACAGGCCAGTGGCCTGAGAGCCATCC